TCTCCGTATCGAGAAAATTAGCCGTTTTCGCCGTTTTTCGAATGCCACTCAAAAGCATTCACACGCATCTCGTGAGCGGAGATCGCTTGGCACTAACAACCTCACTAAACGCCTTAACGATCTTTCTGCATTCATGGAAGAATTGTTCTGCAGGGCCTGTTTTCTCCAGAAGGCGTCCCAAATAACTTCTCAACCTGGAGCGATCTTCAAATAGAACAAAATTTAGTCTTTGCAAACGTCTACGCGCCTCCTTAGGACGCACTCCGATGGCCATTTCTGTTCCTTCACGAGCCACTCGTATTCTTCAGAGTATCGTTTGAGTTTCCTCTCGCCGAACTTGACCAAGGACGACTGCAAATCTGACAGTCGTTGAAAATCTTCTCAATTTTAGCCACAACGCCAGACATTCCAGCGCTGCTACTAGAATGAAGCGGATTAACCTAGCTTTATCGCAAAGAGCGAGTCTTTCATGGCCGTTCGTTCTGCTATTTCAAACAGCCACATAAGTGCACTTATTATTTCCTCCATTGTATATTTTTTGCGGTTACAATGATATCTATTTAATTTGTCTTCCTTTCAAGTAAACAAGACGAACGTGTTAGATGTTAATAAATGACTATATTAGAACTTTTTTAAATGTTTTTAAGTTGCATTTATTTATTTATAATGGAACGTCTATATGAAATTAATTGCTGCATATATTAGTACCTAACAATACTTCTTTATTCGAATGTTAAAGTACGGAAATGTTTTTATTTATTTTTAGTCCTTCGTTACTAGCTTATTAGGATTTAGATTGAAATATTTATTTAATATTTTATGCAGGTTCACACACGAGTGTTCGCTCTATTTTACCGGAGCTTTGAGCTTGCATGACAATACAAATGGTACCGCCACCTTTGTAGTGCCACTTTCTATAAAAACGTTCTTTAATTTGATTAGACTTTCCTCACAGCTAACAAGAACAGGCTTTGATGCCGAGCCACTTGTTGTTGTTTAGCATAAAGCCAATTTGCTGTTTTTCCTTCTGCAGTACACTTAGAAATTTACATAAATAGGTATTTACTTCAATAGCAGATGCGCTATTTTTAAATTTGAACGAATCGACATCACTTACTTAATTGATACAGTATTAACAGCTTTGAATACTTCACGAGTGAACTGACTAGATTCCGTTTGGTAGCATCCTTCGATTTACTGGTTTTACTGCCGGTAATCATCACCCATCTTTCAACAATGAGGTTATTGGATATAGCTGTCATTATATTCACGGATTCATCAAAAATTTCGTTAGTATTAAAGAATCCTCATCTTTAAGTGAGGTTTTTGTTGGTCTTAGGAAGAGCCGCGAGCCATAAGCTGTATTGTATCGAGCCTTGCTATTAACCTCTCACATATTTTCTATATTTTCTTTAATTCAGAAATTCACATTAATTGTTAAGTTTTCAAGTATTTCAAAAAATGTTCTATTATTTTTCCACTGGCAACAGTTCAAGCAGATCAGGACTGTTAAGAGATCCCTGAAGTGCATTTCACGTTATGCCTTTTCGCTGGTAGTTTACAATTAATTCCGACCGGCGCGTGCAAGAATATTTTCGTGAAGAAGCAGCAGTCTCGAGACTGAAGCACTGGTTAATAGCTAATCTTTATTATCAGCTATGTTTCAAGTAACCCACATAACCTGCTAATAATTTCCACGTTTTCTCTTTTTCAAGGCGTGTTAATTAGCATATGGTCAGATTATAGTCTCACGATTTTACTGAATTTCTTTTTTTTTTGATAGATGTCTTCACCTAAAGAATTCAGTTACTTGTTACTGAAATTTTGAGGGGTTAAATTAGCTTTAGTTTATGCTATATACCACTTCATACACCTATTTTATTTTTGTTTTTATATCAATATTTATAAAGCAATCATACCCAACCGAAGGTCGTGATCGAACAAACATTTAATGCAAAAACTTTTACCCTTTACATAACTTTACTTAAAACTGGCGCAGTAGTTAACTCTACGGAAAGAAAAAGCAATGATTACTCAGATACGTTGGCCATTTGTGTTGCTTATATCTTAGGTTTCTCTACATATACAGACTGGTTTTTCTTCAGAAGATTATAGTGTTCTCTGTTAATCTCGCGGTAGGAAAGCTAAAGACGAAAACATTAGCGGAGAAAATGTTCATTATCTTGAGATCAACTCCCTCTGATGCTTAGTAAATGAGTATCAAACGCTCCTTAAAGTATCAAGTAATTTGCGTGGGAAAGGCACTACCCTCCGACAGGGTGTAAAACCAACGTACTTAAACGAAAGCATACAAGTTGCACTGAAACGCCTTGAGACAGCTATTAAACTATTTAAGAATTATGGTATTGTGGTAGGGCAAATCTTATTCTGTTAAGGACCATTCAACACTGAATAAACGTAAATCCTTTCATTTTAAACAATTAGTGCTTCCGAATTGTTTCTGGTATAGTATTCTATAAACATATGAAATGGGTTTCGAATTTCAATGCTCTTTCTATAAAATGTTATGCGTAGATGACTTATCGGTAAGACATCAAAAATAAATAGTCCCCCCTGATTGTTCGTTCAAAGCTTACATGCCTTTATTCCCAATGGTTTTAAATTATTTCTTTAAGACGAAAGTTTTGGGGACTCCATTGGTTGCAGAGGTCTTTAGCCATCCAATACTTTGCTTTTTGAGTACCGCATATATGGAACCGATTTCTGAACGAAATTCGCGAACTCTACTAAGTAGCAGTTTTTAGACCGACAATTTTAAAGCATTTTCTAATAAGCTGAGTCCACTTCATTTGAAAAAAAAATTCCAATATAGTATAATCACACTATGATACCGAAATATGTGTATACGATGTATACTTTAAATTGTGTATATGCATATAAGTGCGAATTAATGTGAACGATAGAGCTCAGAAGCCTCATCAATACAGCTCCTTAAATGATTTGTTATTTAATTCGGTTACATATAACTCAAAGAATAATTAGAAAAATGAACCGAGCAGGTTAATTGGCCAAGGTACCCATTCTAATGCCAAGCTACGGAAAATCTGGTGATGACAGACCTATGGTCACAGCGAAAAACGTATAATTTCGGTATGTTAGCTGCTACTTGGGGGGACAAAGTTCCTTAGAACCTATAGAAAGCGATTGCCTAGAATATTCTAGAAGGCAATCTTTCGATATCTCATATGACGCATGCACGTATGTAGATTCTCTCCGGCGTGTATATATCTAGAGAATAATAAATTCCGTTTTAGAACACGAACTTAACTTTTTTACACTAACCGTTTATAATAGGTTGAAATGCAGGTTTTATTGCTAAGGTCTTTATCCATGTTCGAAGTCCAATTGTCTCAATTTGGCTTCCGAAAACGTGAATGTGTGTGAGGTGTGTAGTTGTGCTAAAGCAAAATTTTCATCCTCATTATCTAAACCTTCACCAGACAGCGCGACTTGGAACGTGAACAAATGCGGCACGCATCTTGAGTTGTAACTTTTCACCTACAAATGTTAATTTTAATCCAAAAGCGCAGAGCCTTTATGATTGTTGAGGGCATTTCTGGTCTGGCCCGTGCGCTAGCGAAAACAGTTTCAGAAACTAACATTTTTCCGCAATAACTTTTTAGCCTCTTCCACGGGCGCAACCCGTCGTAAACTGTTTGATTCATTTCACAATGACTGGATGTAAAAAAACAATTTTCACATATTTTCACATATGAATTTAATATTATAAATTCACCCTTCAGCTGAGTTAAACCTTATTTGTAGCACGGAATTAAGTTTTTTCATTGTCTGCGGTGGTTCGACCGTCAAGCATTCATGGACTGGTTAGAAAAGAGGGCGTATGATGTAAGGTGAGCTTTGTTTTTGGAGTATGTATAAAACACGATAGATATGTTTTTGTGTTTTAATTAAATGACATCACTAGGTATTGGTTGCAAGGTTTTCCATTACATTAAAAGTAATGCAAGTAATGTTCTTTTTCCGTGAGAGATCAAAACTGCGGATTTCGTTGAATAAAACGAAGCTATCGGAGATACATTGAGTCACATAAAAAGCTGGCTGTTTCCATCTTATCGTAGCACTGTGTGTTAATTGTAGCTACTTCTAGGCTTTAAGTTCCTCTGTTAACCATACCCTATCTAAATTCAATACATTCGAAAACAAAAAGCGTTCGTTAAAGGATGTACTTCAGCCTCTAAGTGATTCCCATCAAAGGTGCCGGAAGAATCTTCCTTTGCGTACTAGCACGAAATATTAAAGAACGCATCGAACGGCAAGCTTAAAATCAAAGCTCTATATAAATTGTATGCAAATTATTTAAAATTTGATGGTAATTGTACAGCTTGTGATAGAAAGATACTACTGAATAGATACTAATACCAGATAGCGAGAACATTACGTGAATATAGAAGCACCGAAATGCGCAATTATCTCAATCAGCGGTTTTCACCCACTACTTATACTCTTAACGGGTACGTTACTTCGAGAGCCCAATCGTTTCAGTATATAAATGTGACTGTGATTGATCTTGATACACATCTGTCACTGAAGTATTACATTCATAATAACGTATTTCTTCAAAAGCTGCAACTTGACAGCGCCTATAGGCCTACTACGAGATTGTGGATATACTACGGATATGAAGTGGGCATCTATCCGCAGTGATCAGACGCAACGACACGGCAGGTTGAAACCAGGAACTCAAATAATTTTAAAAGAACACAGGTGCAGCGATGGGAAGGAGTTTCGAGTCTGGCGTTTTATACGACACGCCTCCACAGCAGATTAAACACAGACCCACGTTTTGTTATGCTGTTCGTGTTTTCTTTGTTAACCATGAAGCCGTAGTTATCCAATCGAACAAATCACTGCTAAATATCCGAATATTTTACTTGAAAGTGGAAGTTTCCTCTTTACGATGACAAAGACGCAATTTTTTAAGCCTCATTTCCTAATTACATTTTTTAATTATATCTTACCTATACACCGTACTCCAGGTAAGCATGGCTCGTCGCTGCAAGTGACTGCGGGCTTACAGTCTTTTCCGTCACCTAACATCTCTGTTGGACAGGGTCCGCATCGCGGTCCAGATGCAGTATCCATGCACTGAACACCAGGGAAACATGGCCGGTCGCTGCAACTTGGCTTCTCTCCGCATATGCTGCACCTGCCTCAAAGTAGGAAACATTTAATTTGTAAATTTAAGCATAATAGAATGTGACAGAAATTATAAAACAGCAAAATAATACTAATACTCTAAACAATCAAAACATTAGAACAGAAGAGTAGACAGGGTCTGTATCTTTTGGTTGAATTCATAATTGAATGCTACAGTAGCTACAATATCGACAGTGTCCTGCTTTTTTCCAGAGCTTTTATGTAAAAGAGCAAAATGAAAATACACTCAATTTTGCTCTTTATTCATAAGATTCGTTTCATACATCCAACAACATTAGCCTGATATGACAAGTTGGTAGCCCTCGTTTCTTCGTTGAGACCGTACAAATTTTATTATTTCTATCTTTGAATTTTGTTTTCTTCGTCGGTTAATTTACGGTACCGTATTTTTTTTGACTATTTTCAGTGACAAGTTTACAAAGTTTGCTGTTGATCGATACTCACGACATGATATGTACGTATATATATATATAGAGTTCCATCTAGATTCGGACTGGCTTTGTTGGCAAAGTTAATAGATCGTTTATGATACCCGTTTATTATTGACAAACATTTTTTTTGTCAAATTCATCATTTTTTGTCAAAAAAAAAAACAGTTTTTAAGCATAGTATTTATCGGTAACGGGTCGTGAAGATGAGCTCCAATGGTTAACCGTTTTGAGACATTTTGAGCCTCTTTGCAACTGCCAGGTTTTTAATAACTTTATACTTACCAATCTCGCTTGACGCATGCTTATTATTAAAGTTATTGCGTGTTAGAGAACGAATGTTTTGAAAATGACTAGTGACTGGTTTAGGCCTCAAATTAAAATGGGGAAAAGCGTTAAAGTCAATGTTATTGTTTGAAATAAATCATATGTAAAATTTCGAACTTCCCGAATATATATATAAAATCAGGTTGCTTGTTCAAACCAGAAAGTTTGAAAGCTCAGCTCCTAGGCATACTGCGCTGAAGCAATACAAATCCGGCCGAAATGTCTTTTATATATTAATTGTGTGAGGACTGAGTAAATCGTGACCTTTACAGGGGCTCAGGTGGCCGATGCCATTTTCAAATTATCCAACCGAAAGCATACGTCCCAGAAAAAATCTATGATAAACACGTCAAATAGGAAATGAGGTATGCATGTCGTTTGACGAGTTCTTTAATACCTGCGCTGATGAGCAATAGATACCGAATGCTTGTAATAATACATAATCGCTCCAACAATCGTCGACAATGGCGTGCACAGAGTTTTAAAATTATTCATTCAGAAGCGTTTTTGATTGTGGGTGAACGAGACACGAAACGAGACGTTAATTTTTAGCCAAATCTTCAGTCAGTATACGGCAACACGTTCTTTCCAAATGCTTATACTTTTTATTATCTCTTGATTGGTATTGACAATCGCCCGACACCGTTTGATAAACTTTTTCCAATGTTATCGATAATGGTTGCAGCTGCTAGCCGTCCCACATGTTCATCATCAATGGAGGTAGTGCGACCAAATTTAGCTGGCCAAAATGTTAGTGGCAAACGGTGGTGCAGAATTCCCGTAAGCAGTGTCCATTTCAGTTTTGATCTGCCTGGGTGCATTGCCTTTCAAATTAAAAAATTTAAGGATTCGACATAAATTTTTTTGATAAAGATAACTGAGCATCTAACATGGTTAAATTTTTTTACAAGTATTACTCAACGCATACACAGTTATATCATTAGAATATTGTTTTATGAGCAGCGCCATTTTGATGTTTTGGGCAGTGCAGCCGTACAAGGCTATTACCTGGCTTGATTATATAGCTTTTTAAGATGAAGTGGAAATTTCAGTAAATGTCTGTATATTTACACTAATTGTTATATGGACTCGCCCTACGCTTGCTTTGCTTCAATTTAGCAAATTTCATCCGTACCATCAGCTCTAACAAAAATACACACTAACAGTTATCTCTTTGCAATTACCTAAGTCCAAATGACATGTTACTCTTTACAAATTATTTCATCGTGTTGTTTTAATATGAGCGAATTATGTTACGTCTGTTCGAACATATGAGTATATAATCAAGTCGCAGAACTACATTTTTATAGCTATCTGGTGCAGTCCTTCTGAGATCTTCCAACACCAATTCCGTCATCTCGTTCTAGTCATTTCGGTACAGTAAGTCTGTTTATTGTGTGCACTTGTCGTATTATCAATCAAGGTAATTAGTCACATCCAACATGATCAACTTTATTATGGTTAACATTCTATCCTTTTACGGAAATATTCTAGTAATCTCTTTATTACTTCGTCTCAATTACCTCGTCTTCCCATTACAGTTAATTTGTTACCACACTGTATATATCCTGCAACTTGAAGAGAATTTGCCTTACCAACAGGCAATATAAGCTAGAAAAAATCACTCAACGTATACACGTAGTTTTAGCCTCCGGTCGTGTATGCAACGCCAGTGTGAGCCTTTACCTTACTTAACCCTGTCAAATATATGTTAACTATTCCTACCAAAAATTTTCTCAAAATCCGATTTTGTGACATTAGAATTGTTTTGAAGGGTGGGAAAATCGTTGGCCACACTAAATCGTAGAATTAACTGGAAAAAGACAACTGGCGTTTGGCTGATTAAGACATGCAGTAGGCACAGAGCCAAATTATCAATACTTTTTTTAACACAATGAGACCGCTGTATAGTTAAAACGTTTTTAAAACAATATGCAATCATGACTCTTTTCGCATCTCTCTAAACACTTTCGCCAACTTCCACACATCGACATATTTCATGAATTCCTGAGAATTTTTCAAAATCATCTTAAAGAAAAAGTCCACAGCGAAACATTGGAGTTTTTTTCAAAGCTTAATGTTTCTCCCACTTAATAAAGCTAGAGAAATCAAGAAACTTTAACACATATATCCTCAGTTTAATATTATGTTTTATAAAAAAAGAAATTGCCTTTCAGAAAAGTGCTCATTCGGTTGAAACGAGGTTAAACCATATGCCGAAATGGTTGATATTTAATCAACTATTGTATATAACGTTACTTCTCTGATATTACACATCCAGCAACGCATTTAAAGAAAAATATTTAACAATAAAATATATGAATAATATATCACAGGATCAATGACACTTAAAGGCTAAAAAAAAATTAAAAGCTTAGAAGTTGTAGCATCAAATTCATAAGAGAAATAGAGAGAGGGTAAAGAATTTAGACAAAAAGAGAATCAGTGTGCCAGGTTTCCGAGCGACAACACTAGAAGAAGCTATCTGGATGGTGTTTATCACTTGTCCTCACATCTGTTACAAATGCATCCCTCGTCGGGCTCATGGAGTCGCCTATCTGTACATAATTGGTGATAGAAGTTCTGGACTGCGAAACGGACAGTAATCTAACAGTTTACTCGGTTCGGCTTCTTCTGCCCATCATTTCTCATTACCTTTGTATGAAAAAATTCATTATCTATTTCGGCGAACTTCTACGTCTACCTGCTCAGACACACGGAGACGGGGGGGCGTGACTCGCCAGGAGTACAGAGCAAGATCTCCTATTAATAACAAAGCGTCGGCAAAAAGGTAAACTATTTGGTTTCTTGCTGTATGATAAAGACCCAGGACGTGTTTCAAAAAGGAGGTCTTTACTTAGTTGAGTAATTCGCAATATCATACTGCAAGGTTTTTTACCACTTAAACCGCTTCCGGCGCCACCTTCAGGTCAAAGAGACTAAATGCTGTCGTGAGGGAGAAGCGATTTGAAATCCTAATGTCACTTGAAACGGTCAACGTTTTTCTATATCCTTTCGTGAGGTGCAATACGCAAGTGTTACCACTAAAAGAGATAAGTACGTTGAGACACGGGAATTTACTTAGGAACCAAAAGAAAAATCCGGAAATAAATATTGTGTCGCCAGCCACAATCCTGCCTTTTCTTTTGAATTTTATGACCTTCGTCGTATCTAGGTTGACCGTTAAAACCCATTCAGTTGCTGTTACGCAAAGCCTAGCCAGGAATTCGCTAGAGCCATGGTTAACTAAGATATCCGCATAAAGACTACCGAACAGGTACTTTCGATTTCTTATTGCCAAAAACAATAGCACTGCTAGAGGAATTGTATCACTCGTCGTGAGCATATCAGCAATGTGATATCGATCCAATCCAGCTTATCGGGAAGACGGTCGAGCCACAGCTCGTTAGCTGTTGTATGGCTGTCGCTCTACCTTTACTTTTGTTATTTGCCGACTCTCCAAAGCTTTCATGTATTTCTTTTCAGCATATTCCTCAAATGCCGGTACCGAGTATGCATTGTTTCCCCAAAGTCCGCAAACGTGTCTTTAGGCGAGCGCAAAGTCGCCAGTTACGATTAGGAAGGAAGGTCGACAGAGCGACAGTGTTTGCAAACCGTTAACGAGCTTCTTTATTAGCCGGTGTAGAGATTCGTGCGTGACAGATATGATCCCTACGAAATAGATGTGTTAGCTATGTAACATAATGTCGTCTTTAAATAATCCTAGTGAGAGATTATTCACTCTACCTCCCCTAAGGTGTCTTCGGCCACTAGTCTTGCAAGCTGGAGGGTTCACGGCGTAAAGGCGAGGGATATAGAGTGGGCACACTGCTTGTTTCTGTCAGCACCAGAATGTTAACATTCTTTCAGACCCTCGACGTAAGGCACGCTAATGCTCAAGCTCCCTCGTATTTCCATCGCCTAATTCTTAGCGTTTCGCTGGATTCGGTTTTGTCAAGTACTCTGCGATCGATCCTTTGTATTACCGCGATGGCGTTGGTAGGAGCCGCCGCGTCCTAACGCTAGGTTCTGAATGTTCGCCACTGTAAAAACTTTATTCATGAAATCTTCGATTATTACAGCGTTTGGAAGAAGAGAACAGCTATTTGAGGCCGTCGATACGCCATGTGCACACAATAATTCAGTGCCATTCGGAGGACCGATTTTCACGAAACTGATCGGACTGTTCGACCGCCTCGTCTGCGGCGGCTGCTGCGCTGTGGCATAATTTGTCTCACCTCTGTATTTTTCAAATTGTTATTGATTTTTATCTATTTGTCTGCTGAATCCTTATTTTCGTGATAATCCTTGATTTTCGCATCGGAAATAGGCTTGACAGCTGTTTTGATCTTAACAGCTATCTTCCTCTCTTGCTACTTCGCTTCGGTGGCTGTATTGACCGCTCTCGACAACTATACGTTGAGTGATGGAGTGAAGCACGACAGAAAAGATGGATTCTCTTTAAAATAAATTCTACTACGGTATCCACGTACTTCTCAATTTTGGCCATCATATTCTCAAGTTCCATCCTTAGGCAGACAGTATGGCAGACTATTTTTCGGACAAAAGCTGTTTTAAAGCCATATCAAAATGCTCGATCATACTATGCTAATTAGAGGTACTACTTTGATGAGTGGGAAGCAGCTATGTCGAGCGATCGTCCGGACAAATTGACCATTTCATTCTTCTCTGATAGCAATAACAGTTTTCCCGATAAAACACTTCATTTTCCAAGACCATGTGGTGAAACAGGAATGAAAAGCAATTCTTTGTTTATCGTAATAATCAAATGGACATATTTATAGACATATCAAGAAGCATTATGTCGGCCAGTCTGCTGTTAATACATTACACCAGTGGCACTTCCATTTAGACGGTTTTGTTATCGAGTTCACACGTTTTACGAGGCGTTTGGAATATTTTGCACACCTTATACACTACACGAATAGAATAATTTGAGAACTCTTATCACATTTAGCACAGCCACCCTTACTATATAAATTGTATTCTGTCAGGAGTTGCATATCCGTATGAGAAAATGTTTTTTATGACTATTGCCAGTTTTTGTTATTGTTGTTGTCACTCGAACATACGCACGAACAGGAATCGCTCACCGGCTCCTGTTGACAGTAGTGTAGTTGGTAACAACTTTCTCTTCACCTCTATTCCTTCAACCAGAAGAAATAATAAACTGTAACTGATGAAAGAGTCGTCTTTCGTCGGGTGTGGGTTCGGCACCATCATCTACTAAAAAAAGTTTTAAAAGAACTGTGCATAAAGGCTTTTGCAGTAGTTGTTTGATTATTCTGAAAGCCATTCACTCACTTATTCTCAATAAATCCGGGGTTTTGAAGTACTGGTGGGCGCACATAGTGAAACCTGGTCAATTGACACATAGATTACGTGAGGTTTGAATGACAACATTTGCAAATAACGGTACGGGGGCCAGCTAGTTGACAAGCCCACCAGTCCAGGGAATACCACAATCTTTTCTTCATAGACTATGAGGGCTTGACCATGTTGATATTAAGTCGACTTATTTTGAGTGCTTTTTCCTTATAACTTTCACAGTAACACCTCAGAGTTCAGTATTTCAATGTGTAAAAAATAGGGGCTGGGAGCTGGTTCCCCTGGTTGGCCACAGTTCTACGTTCCAGAGATGAATGTTTCCGTTTACAGATCGGAGGGGTAATGGTGACAGTTATTTAGATTGGAGGGCCACCCTCACTCGTAGAAAACTACCGCCCAGTTATCCAAGACTTTATACAACGTCCTATATATATATATATATATTTTTTTTTTTCTTAGTTATATATAAAATAACTGTATATAATAGATATATAGACAAATATATTAATTATATTATATAAAAAAGGTTAAGCCCTTTCCCTAAGGAAGCTCTTATGTGGCACACGCCAGCCACGATTAGGCCGCGAATGATTGCTTTACGCCGTCTTCATGTTGCAAGCCGCAACTTTGCTACTAAGGTCAATAAATTCGGTCTAACCAAATATTCTACCTTCTTCCCTGTGTGCAATCCCTGCGGTTAGTTTTGGTATGTTTCTCCGTAAAAGATTACAATGTATGTTCGAGTCTTCGATTATAAGGATTTGCAATGCACCTTCAAAGCGGCTGACTGCATTTCCATTTGATATGCGTCTACTAGGATAAAGTTGTCGACTCCAAAGTATGCGGAAAAAGGCAAAAAATTTTTGGGTTTACCTGATGCTGGTTAAGCATTGCTTCATCTAACACAAACTGAATCGAGTGTCTGTTTACGCCAGACTATAAACCTAGAGTACTGCGTGTTAGAAAGTTTTGTAGGGGAACACGTTAGTGCGCACAGTAACTCTGACAATACAATGTTTACGGCCACCAACCGTCGTTAAAGTAGATTTCTGCAAGGATCTAGGTGTGATGTTTGATAGGGTCATTTCATATTCACGATGCAGACCTCTGCTGCGTATATTATTTCACGGTATTTTTACTTTAGCGGGTCCGGGATATATTTGCAAAATAAAGGCCATTACGGAACCCATCATTATATTTCTCGGCATAGTTATGTCTCTTGCTAGCATTGCTAACTTTCAGGCTTCTCCGAGATTGTGATGAGAGACGTTGTAACTCGTAATTTCTCGACAGTAGCCATCCGAATTGGGAGAGGTTGTTGCAATTTGTTTGTTAATAAAAGCGACATTTTGTTACTGTATTATGTTTATTACAGTTTACTTTAACGTGTATAACTTCAATCTAGCTTTCCAGTATACACACGTGCATACAGTAAATTTTATTTCTTCTACAGTATACCGCCCTAGCTAGCTATGGCTTACTTATGTCTTCCGCCTAATAACAGCAATTGTAAGAGGTACTTAATTTTGTGCCATCATTGTAGAATAATAGAAACAGTCTAATAACGGTCGTCTGCAACCTTTTTTAGCATCCGAAGGCTTTTTAAAAACTGCAAGCCTACTTTTACCTCATGAACTCCACGTCAAGTCCACGAGAACACTTATTTCGGCGCAAAAGTGCTATAAACAGAGTACTGTAACTTAGTTCTAATGTATATATATGTATATTTTGGCTCTTTGTACAATTTTTATGCGGTACCCCTTTTGATGGACAGCTGTAGAATTCGCTCAAATCCTGTAGGACAGGCAGTTTTTTCCTAGACAAGGCTAGGAACAAGGGTTCCTGGATATAATGGTCCATAAAGAAAGATGGAGTAAATATGTGGAAAAACATTTAGTGTATCTCTAAGAAAACATGGATAGTGCAGAGATCTTCGCTAGTTAGTAATAGTCTACTAATTAATAGTATTTATATGTCTACGGGTGTAATATATTCCTGAATTTGAAACTCCTTCAAGTTCAAGGCCATCATACATTGACGCAATTTAAAAAGTAAGAGTTAGCGTTCATTTTTCTTTCTCATATAACACAATGAATCAACAAAGGACATGAGTTTTTTTTTGTTTCGATTTCTTTAAAAACAGTATTTATGTTACAAGCGGTTTTAAGTTCTGCTAGCTAAGCGCAGCTTCTGATGCTACTGCTTATCATAATTGTGCTATAAAGGTAGAAAATACGATGTGCTTTATAAAAGATTGAAATATACGAACATTAGTATTAACCTTGAAGAAATTATTACTTATATTGGTTCAAATCGTACTTAAACGATAGACCCTGGTTTTTCAAGGTATCCACATGATGACAGTAGCTTTGCTTCGGCCAATAAGTTACTGATTTTTATAATAGTCAAGCCTTCTTATAAGTAACCTAACCATCTTCAAGAGTTTAGGCGAAAATAACTAATATAGATAATGTGCTACAGATTTTACCTGAAAAAGAACTTTAGAAATCTTTAATGTCGTTTAGGCACAGGCGCAATCATGTGCTATAACGAGATTTATTTCAAACAGAGAGAACTTTAAAAATCATTCTTAAGTATCTTACTTTACGGTGTTTACAGATTTCATATATTAGCCCCCAGTATTTTACACATACATTTTCGTAATATATTACATTCTTATTACCTTTCGAGCACATTTCGAATTTGGTTGGTTGCTCTAGTTTGAGCTTCAATTACGGAACGTAGTCCTTCTAGGATCTTACTGACACCAAATGAGGGAGCACATAAAGCTTGTTGGCTGTCATTGGACTTCACAGAAAATCTGGAGTGATGCGTTGAATGAACACTTTTTATTGACTCCGCTTGCTCCGGTATCTGAAACGGGAACCCTACTATTAACAAACTTGAAAAGTAATGACGGCTCTTTAATTCAAAAGGATACAGCGTTTAGCTTAAATTCTAGCAATAAGGTAGTTCTTATTATTATGCATACGCCATCACGCCCTACGATTTTCTCCATCTTTCATCAAATGTATATATTTCTTCTGGTCAGACATGTTCTGGAATAAAAAAAATTCTGAAAACGACACAATAATTGAAATATAAAAAAAAGTTTAATAAATGGATTAGCGGGTCAAGTACGCCGAGATACAACTATAGTAAATGAAAAGACAGCCTGTGAGAATATATGTAAGAAATAGGTATGCTAAAACGCTTTGAATTGCCATATACTAAAATTGCGCTAGTAAACGTCAGCGCAATATCTTGTAACATGAAAGAATGAGCATAAGCCTATGCATCTAATGGAAACTACTACATCATATAGTTTTCTCTGGCTACTCTAACAATGTGTTATCTTGGTTTATTTTGAAAATAGGGAATAGGCTCACTATAATGTTTTGTATTCATTGTATGTCAAGGTAGGCCTACTACAGTACACATATGCTAATAAATCTTTTTCGTTTGTTCCACTCATGAATATAGTCAGCCGACTGGACTAAGTGCGATGTACGCAAAGGTAACTCTTCTCTGCTTTATTTCAGGGGTTGACAAATAGAAGTTTTATTTCAATAGCAAGTTTCGATTCTTGTACGAACGAAAAACAGCCCAAGTTAAAGCAAGAGCGTCTTAAAATAGATTAGATGTAATCAAGGTTGCACACAAATAATTATGACTGAGTTTACAAATTAATGCATGTCCCTCATTCCTTAATAGCGAAGATGACTACCATAACTTGACAGCTATGATCTTCTTTATAAGCGTCCTATAAATAGCTTTTGAGGTCAAATACTCAATCTAAGTTCAAAGGAACAAGTGATAGAATGATTATAGATGTTTATGGGACACCGCTTTCCATTAGTGATACTATTATACTATATTATTGCACATGGCAACTACAGACAAAACAAAACCAGATTTTGTATTTACTTCGAAGCCCCTTTTCTTAGATCATATATGTTCTGTCAGTTATTCACTATAGTATTGACTGAGTATAACTCACATTTCTTTGTAATCCGAAAATTGAAATCCGTATACTTAAATCGCTTCAATAAACTCAAGATAAAACATTCTTCTCCTGTGAAATTTTCTGCTTGTTTTATGGGCCATCACTCTCTGTGGGTCCCAAGTCGCAATGTGCACAGCTTTCAGCTTTAAATCTTTAAAACCATTCTTGTTTAAAACATGTGTCTATTGCTAGTACACTTCTAGACCATGTAGACCATACTTTTATCTGAACCTCAGATAAATGCTAAAATGTTGATACGTTGCGAAGAATTGCAGGTCAGTTTATTTTTGCGCAGCAGGATTATTCATACTCTGAAAAACGAGATTAGTAATTTAGATTAAAGATTTCTTGTGCAAAAAGTGAGAAACTTGTTTGGCTTGATTATCAAACACATGAACACACGCGTATATAGAAAACGTAGTATCGACGAACAAATGTATGGCGAACGTTTGTACTTTATCCTACACGTTGTTCTTTTTGAGAGCTACCGACACACGGTAGTGTCAAAATGACACTACAAACAATCCCATTGCATTGTTGTCATGATTTTAAGCAAAACCCTTCAGGTTATTCTATGTGAAAAATTCTTTTTGGATCATTAGCATGCCATTCATGCCAAATATATATGCGCCAAATAAGCTCTAACGATTTTTATGAAATTTCTTTTTAAGAAGATTTCTTTTCTACAAAAATCTTCAGAAAAATTTTAATTGAAGAATTAATTAACAGAAATTAAACAGGTAATCATTTCGATGTACGTTTCGATATGTAAGATAATCTGTATGTATCACTTTACGATTTATAATACGTGTGATGCCCGGTAGATGAAAACTGAAAACGCGTTGTAGAGCCTGCAGATTTAGGGTCTAGGAGCGCATCTCACATCATATTCGAGATTTCGCAGTGAACTTATAAAATGCATCACGGCTACAGCTTTTGATTCCGTCTTCTACCGATATTCAAAGCTGCATAGAGTTATTTTTATACGTTTTCGAGAAAAGCAAAGTCGTCTGGTCGCGGTGAGTGTTGTACCTGACAAGTATACACTACGAGATGATATACAATAGTTAACTCATTTACATTCTTTATGCGAGGAACTTAGCACCCGTTGTCGGATAGATACATGTATACATAAAGATGTGTCTTGCAACAACAAACCTAAATACGACACTACCTAAAGACGTACCTTGTGGACAGCCGGGAAAACGTTTACCAAACCTTATATACTCCGATATCGGTATCAATAAATCAGCTGTGGTTTCAAAAACACATTTAAAGTCGTAGCATACAATATCTACATTTATAGTGGAGTTTTTCTACAGAGCTGTATCGTTATAAATATATGAGGGCATTCTGTTATTTGCCTTCCTTTTCAACACGCAAATTGCTCTGCTAAGATTAGTCATCTATTTCGGCTTCATAGTGTTTGCTTTTCGATTGTTTTGTCCAGTCCCAAATTTGTAACAAACGAACCGATACTGTTCCTTGGGCCCATTTTCTATTCTAATTCAGGTATGGAGGGATTCACACCTTCATGTACATCTTCGGTACACAAAGTGTGTCGAAAGATTTTGCTTAAATGAGACTCAAAAGATTAGCTGAACTAATTGTTGCTCTTTTTAAGAGAGTGCTATAAAATAAATCTTTGGGATTCAAGTCCTTTTATAGTTTCATTTTCCCAAGTAATTGGCAAACTTCTCCACATCGATATTATTCTGTTATACTTTTCGAAACCAGTACTGACAAGGTGAACTCGCCTTATAAGCTTCGAATTGGATCTTATACTGCTTGTCAGTATATTTCGTAGCATTGTACCGGCTGAGAAGTACTAGGGTAACAGTTTTTCAATATAGAGCACGCGTAGAGAAACTTCCATTTATATACATTATACTTTAAATTTCGCACATCTGCAAAGATGTTCACAGCGAAGGTACTTTTCCAATTAATTAGCAACGATTGTAGCGTAGTTACGTTATAGTCAGCATCTTTGAAATGATGAGTAGTAACTCGTTAAGCGATTACTAATTTAGTCGCCATGGAGGACGCAAACATTGCAGACCTCCACATTCGTCATTCATTGTCTTGACAGGGACACAAAAAGGAGACTTTCTGGTTAAAAAAACTTTAGTCTTTCTATTTATAGCATTTCTCAAAAATAAACACATGCTATCTTTTGGATTTTTCGGGATTCGCATGATCCTAGTTTAATTACATCTTAATAATGCAGGTTAAGCGCAGGTTATTTCTTTAGGCGTTAAACCGGAGCTAATCAATGATTTCTTATTTAGTTACCGACCGAGTATTAAGTACAAATATTTTGGAGTATTTACTTGAATAATTAAGCCACATAAAAATTTAGCACAAAACAATACATACGTCGTACTCTGACAGAAAGGGTTGAGGCATGTTGAGTTTTCGGGAAGTCCTGCATTTGTGAGAAAAGATTTTCACATCTGTGACATTTGCGTATATTTCCAGCGTCATTCTGCGATCCCGCAGAATTCGTAAGACCTGTGTGGGAAAAGTTAATCGTAGTAAAATATGTGATATTTGTTCTTAGTAGTTATGAAATTCAGAAAAAGTAGGTCTGTTCTTTATACTCCCTGCTGGCAACCTACCTTGGGTATTTTTGGCTAAATAATGCTCATAATAGGTCTTCTACAGCTGCAAATTCTACGTATGTCTAAGAAATTAATGAACTATTACGAACTATGAAAAAATAATTACATGATTTGAGTTACATGCTACTATATGTTAGTAATGTTAGAAGGATATATAGAGGTTGTGAAGAAGAGGTATGAGCATCTCACGACTTCCGTAGTAGTGTCCAAAAGACTTCAGTGCCGGAAGCTATGTTCCAAGTCGGGGGTTTAGCAAGGCAAAAAACCTAAAGCGAATTTGGAAATACATTATTCAATAATGTTTAATTTACTCGTACCACTGTAGCTTTATGGATAGGAATCGAATGTAGAATGAATCCCCATAGAAGTTGTGTGTAATAAAATGTAAAAAAATAGCTCTATATCCTATAGTGTACTATACAAGGAATGTTCTTGCAACAAATTATTTAATGCATAATAGGGTTTAGTAAAAGGAGCATTTTATTCCGTCTGATGGTGGAATTCTATAGTATGATGAATCAACTTCTTTATTCGTCCAAGTCATCTAGTATTTATGTATCATAAGAGAGACTCAAAGCGGCAACATCCGAACCGTTTAATTTATAGGATCAGTAGTGGCTGCCACTAGGTTGGACAAAACATGATTTCTATGTAGAGGTGAGCTTTCGTTTGTTAAATTTATCTGGGTTGTCTTTCAGTGCAGAAATTATGACTAACATTTTTGCGTATACGACTATTCTATAGGTATTCGATATATCGTATATCTTTTAGCTAGTCTGCTTACAGATATCACAACAGGTGCTCGAAATACCATAAGACGCTTGATAGTGACGAAATACGTTTTCAAAAATAATGTTCATTCCTAAACAAGTCTTTGTAATCATACCAAAAATAAAAGGATTAGCTATCTTCGGCTCCAAGGTTGCCTAGTTGGATACGAAATCTAGGGTCGTCCTGTTGACCTTGAGACTCTGATGCTTGACGCCCAAATCGTCCAACCTTTTCTGTTTAAATTTATTCTTGTAAAATGTATGAAGAGTGCTCTCTACATAACTTCATTTGACTTTCTTGAAAATCTAGTTGCCGGAATCTATATCACTGCAACTCTCTCTAATAGCTGATACTTCCCAAACACGCGTGATTATTTATAAATAGTTATCAGTTGGCTGTCGCTTTTTCCTAAATTGTCGCTGTTCTATATACATGTTGCTATGCCGTAGAGCAAATAAGTTGCAAGGCTTATTCTCAAATTTTCAGCCTATAGAATCGAAGGCACGTTAAGATCCTGTACTGTAGCGAGGGCACCTTTCTCGGATCAATTTTCAAGAAATATCAGGTGAAAAAGCAAATGGGTGAATACTTCTAGGTCTTTGGCTAAAATAAGATGTGAGTTATTATTATTTTAAATATATTTAGCAAATAATAAATTCCTCCTTGATATTTGGTGTTAATTTACTTAGCTAATTTACTGGATGAAGTAGCAGTCTTCTCTTTCACTTGCTCAATCAGAGTGGTTCTTACATGATTATATATTTAGCTATAATATTTCTTATTTTACCTTTACAGCAAAAGTTGGTGTTAAACGGTATGATGTCAATTCGGCGTCCCATGGTGTTATTAAATTTAAGTTTTTTCCGTCGAACTCTATCACAGCTTAATGTTTTCACTGCAAATTAGTGCAAAAAGCATCGTACCCCTAACTATTCCGCGAATTAGTTTGGATTTTAAGGAAAAATTAGTAGTTCAAAAACGAAGAGCGTATTTTTTTTGACTAAGTTACCGTTATCTGGAATAATCTGGAAAAGTTGGTAACTGTATATATTCTAGCAACAAAAAGGATACTTAACAAATACTGCTTTTTACTCACTACGTCGCCTGTTTTTGCATAACTCCATCCGTTGTGGTGTCTATGCACAGATATCTTATAAACATATGTATTTTAATTGGTGACCTGGCAATCAAATAAAATCTGGGGTATGTAATATTGTTTTAAGCTGTGCGTAGTTCTCGTACGTGCCGGCTTTGACGGTGACGAACAGCACCACTTAAGTACAAAATAGAATGTACGAAAGGTATTACTACAACATGTTTCAAAGGTTTTGCATCGTGAATAGCCACTTTTTCTAGGTGGGCCTTGTTATTATCCTCGGATTACCTGAGCTAAATACGAGAATGCTATTTGGTGACATTACCATTCTAATGAAATTCAGCTTTGTGAAATGACTACTTACACGTGAGTGCTTGGACAGGTAATCGGTTTTTGTTGCGGAATCTGATGGCACGAATGCCTTGGTAGAAAAGCAGCCACCTTTAGTTTTTCGATTGCCACTAAAAGCACGCCTCTATCTAGTTACGACTGTACCGTGGAACATCATGTCCGTAGTGTGTCTCGGAGCAGTCTACTACAAAGGTGTCTCTAAGATGATATAACTAAAATAGCGCTAAGATGTAAAAAGACTAGAATCTGTTATGACTTGACCGGAGATAACTGTAGTAATAATAAGTAAAGTTGATTATTTCGAACCGTTTGTCTCCCGCTCTAATCTGATACACACAATGGCCTTACAAAAAGCCAAAATGTATTATCTATAAGATAAGAGTACAGTAAATCTAAATCAATTGTGGAAACTAGTCTAAACAAGGAGTTGAACCATACTATAAAGTTATTATCGATACAGCAATTTCGTTTTCACTTACCTGAGCACTTTGAGCGGCCATGAATAAGGGTATATGAAGGGCCATCTCATGTTGTAACTCACAATCAAAATACAGCTCCACCTGTTCCAATAAAATGAATAGCAGAGAAATAATCTTTTTAATACAGTTAATCATATAGTAAAATTATTTCCAAATATGACTTCTTAAAGGTAACTCATATAATACGTGGTAAAACTAGTTCAGTTACCCTTTTGCTCTACATATACTTGAGCCTAGTTTTTACCTCGTGACTTTGATGGCACCAATGCACGTGCACGGGACTTTTAATACATTGACAAGCATATATATACACCTATTTAATAGCTCATTTCATGCGTATACGCATTCCATTTGGTTTTTAAAAGCGATTATTCGGTTCATTGCTTAGGTGTTTCCTTCCTGTATTGGCCTTGTTTACAATAAGGCCCTGATTATGAAAAGGTGCTCTAGCCACGAGTAGCCCGAGAAATTCCGGGAGGTCGTCAAAATATTTGTTTCGATAAGAAGGATTTTAATTGCATGTACGACTATTATTATTAAGCTCGAATCGTTACAGCTAGTCATTTCAGATAAGGTCTAAACTAAGGTTTTTACAATTTCTTTTAGTTCATTGTATGGGTATTAAATGTAAACGGTTGTCATTATGATTTCATACACAAACTTTTATGCATGTTTAAGTTTCAACATCAGGGCACATGTTTTTAAAAACCGTTGAAAAATGAAAATAAGATAATACAATTTTGAATATAATTAATTGAAGTATATTATATTTCGAAGACAAACGTACCACTATGCCAGATTGACCTCAGGCAGAAAGGATTTCAAAGAACGATATTACGTACTCTGAAGCCACTACGGTGGAAGGTTTAGAAAGATCCTTCAAAACCTAAACAAAACTTCCACCCCAAAATTTCCACCACAAAGCCCTTTCCTCCCTTTTTTGTTTGCTTTGTAATACATCAGAATTATTTAAAAACAGGGGATATTCAACTAACTAGGCCTGCGCTTTTTTCCCATCCTTTCCTTATTTCCATCATCCCATTTATCATGTCTAGCACCGATCTTGGTAGAATCACCAATGTATATCTTTTCACTCGCGTGTACCACAGGTCTGGGCAGCGTAAAATGACGTAGCTCACATCGTTTTCTTTGCGGGAATCGGGAGTCCTTCCAACCTTATGAATGCGGCCCGTAAGGGCTTGAGTTTGATAATTCGTGATATCATTCTTGTTTACGTTCATCCATTGCTTTAGGTCCTGAGAAAAGTAGCGGTTCCAATCTTCTAAAGAGCCCATTACCATATTGCTCCATTTATCTTGCCATGCCTGTATTGTTAAATCGCTAGCTTTCTGTTTCTGTAGTGATGAGTTTGTCTTGTGCTTAATTCTTTCTTTGATTATTCTTAATCATGGAATGGTCTGGAAATAGCGTTCGTCGAGTTTGCAGAACTTTTTGCGTATTTTCGCCACCCTCAGTGTGAGCAGTTTTTGCGACCGGCCCCATACCGTTTAATAATCGAGAATATAATAGCTAGGTTGATAGGCTAGCTATCGATATAACATACATTCTGTCACATTAGCTACTGAAAATGAATCTTGAAAAATACTCACTTGACCCACTCTATAGTCAATATTTAATATGTTGATAGCGGCCACTGGCTTAAAACTCTGTCGCTGATACTATTATCATACTCATTTGTCACATTCCGTTTTAATTGTCTGATATGGTAGTCTATTACCAACACGAAACTTAACTAAAAGTTTAAGTCTGTAACCTGTAAACTTTCTGTAGTATTATTCGATGCGTTTCTCAAGTAAATTCAAGTGCTCAGTATAAGCCTATTTTACATACAAATGCATAAAGAAGCAGAGGTACGATATGGACGTTATACAGCTCTATACAGGTTAGAGGAAGATTTTAGACTGATGTACTTAGGGCCGACATCAGAAAAAACAGCTTTGTGCTGTGAATGCGACTTGCTAAATGAGGTTTTAAATCGGGTATTTAGGTCCTTAACAAGTTTTTTAACGATTTGTGTTTTTTCTCTCGATTTGCTAAGAAGTTCATACTACGGTTTTGCTTTTCCATGTTACAGATTCGATCAACTATGTTTAACCGCCTAACTGACTAAGGGAATTTTGTACGATAGCGTAATCCTCGACGTTGCCTTTGCTACGACAAATTTGATATCATTATCATGTACATAGTGCTGCGCTCGCTTCTTAATTTCATTCTTGACGAAGTCAATAAGCAGCATTCAGCATTATCTATGTACTTAAATGCTTACCTGCAAATAAGCAATAGTTTTTGCGGGCATGATAATTGCGCCCGTGACGATCAATCCATCATTTTGTTTGCCTATCAGTTATAAGCACAAGTGGTCTCTCGAAACAGGTCATAGATATACTTTATTTTGTATGCTAGGTGACATAATACTACAAGAAAACAGCAAACGTAGAGATCAAAACATTTGGTTTAAATATGAGATTTTCACCAGGCGACCTTCAAGGCAGTTGTTTTACGACGATTCTACCTTGTATAGACGTTTTAAAGATACATTATTTTGTTTAAAGCGCAATTAGTTCTAAACTAAGTCCATTGATTTGAGGTTATATTTTATTTATGATTCTGAAAAAGAGCAGAATACTTTGTTGAAGTCGATAAAGGCAGTGGTAGAATAATCTTAAAAAAATGCTAACATTTGCTCTCAATTGCGCAGCACTTAGCCCTAAAGATCCTCTATACTTTAAGAAGCATGAGCTAGTATCAATCAAAAAGCTACTCGAAATCTTATTGGTTAGAAACCAGAAATGGTTATTAAAACTCAGAGCCATGGTTAGGCTTATATAAAGACAATAAAGATGTGCTGAACAAATCTGTAAAGCGTCTCTTTGCTATATGCGGGATCGAATTCGACAGAATAACATGCCTATTGCAAGCTAACGTTCGCCAATATAAAATTCGATGAAAAAACATATTGATCAGGTGTCCAATACATCAGGATAATGCTTTCTATTTCAGTATTTTTAGGACCTTGTTTACTAAATAACAATAGTGTTTTATAATCCGTTACTATAAAGCGTGTAAATGAGTGTACACACACATATACGTGCTAATCATCTGAAAAAAGCCCCAACGATTTTCCGAAATTTTGTGTTTATATTTGGCTTGAGAACGATGTCTGAAAAATAAGTGTTGCAATAGGAAAATATAAAAAGCTCCCAGAAACCGTCTTAACTTAGTTTAGAAAGTGTTTCAACAAAATTTCGTGTTGGTTTATACCGGTAGTGCTGTAAAATTTAGGTTTTTGGGAAACCTAGGTCTTTTTTTAATTTAAACCTTAAGTTTTAGAAAATCTCTATACCGGTTTAATATACCCGGGGAACCAATTTTAGTGACATTCACACAATAGACGAGGATTAAACTGAACCATTGCAAAATTCCCTTTCAAATCGTGTTTGTCAAGTCATAAGGGTTCATTCAAAATATTCAAATTAAAAATTTTGCGCCGGCTAGTGAGCTTTGATAATGTCCTAGTATAACCAAATTTCCAGTTTTCTTTTTACGGCCTTAAGGAAGATAGAAGGTAGTTTCGGCATTTTCAAACTTCACTATCTGTAGGTTCGTGTTTATGTTTAGGCTGAGACTTGGTGCACTGCTTCTTTGGAATAGGAATCTTCTTTGTTTGTTGTACCATCACATCTTGGCGTGTCACCGCCTGTTCTCCACGCTGACAAAATACAGGACTCAAAGTCTGCATATATTGCATTTTTCATTAGCCCTTCACTAAAAAAAATGCAGCTAAGAAGATTGGCACCGGGATAAAATTGAAGGATGTGTAATGATAATATTCAACAGAAAAATAAGAGTTAAGCCCCGAAGACTTTCCATACGAGCATTTCAAAGAAGTTCATAGTACTCTAAGGGACTGTTCTATTATGAAGCTCTTAAACCCGGTTAAAAGAAGAATGTTATATGAAGAACTCGACTTGAATTATTTTCCTAAACTAAGAAATAGGCTAAAAGGACTATAGACAGGATAGCTTTGATGCTATCGATACATTTAGCGTTAATTAACTGCGTTTGGCTTCTACGGGCTGGTCTGAAAACAACTGTAGGTAAATTCGTGTGGATGTGCGAAATACGAACAAGAGAATCTGGGAAACAGGTGAGTTTGAATTCTGGTAGAGTGCATTGTTCATGTAACTAAACATACATATTTATTTTCAGACATAATTTTGGAAAAAACAGGTATATATACAGAAGTAATTAAAAATATAACACTGAAAGATACTACGAAAGTGTAAACCGAATAATAAACCGTTGCTTGCTTGCGCTAACTTCTCCGTTATATATATGTATATTGATGAAAACAGTTTAAAAGTATTTAAAATATTCTCCAAATCCTAGAATGGTTACATCTCAATCTACGTAAATCTAACATGCAGAGAGTATAATGGCGGAAATTGCGATGTTGCTAAAGTGGACAGTAAAATAATAAAAACTTCTCTTTTTATAGCAATGTGTAAACGATAAAAGGGACGACAAAAAGGACCAACGGGGTGCTGACAAAGGTGAGGTACGGGAACAAGGTGGTGTTGATTAGAAAGAATGATTCATGAGAACCAAATGTGACAAGCAAAACACCTAAATTGATGCTATGGTACTATGTAGATCTATAACAAGACGAGGAGGTGAATAAATATATGAAAGCGAATGAAAAGATATGATACATTTTTGACATTGTGTGCGTTTGCCGTAGTCTGTTGTCCAGTTGTACAAAGCAGGGCGATGCAGTTTTCTAGGAAGTTCGGTAAAGAAGGAGAACTTTGGTGGCTATGCATTGTTTAAAACGAAAATATAAGGAGAAGAATGAATCACACTGAAGCGAGTCTGATATGATTTGAGGCACGATTGTACGATGTACGGCTTGCTCTTATGCTGATATAAAAAAAATTTTGAAAAACGAAACTTTTTGATATTCGGGTTTAGACTACTGCTGGCAGGCAACTATGTACCGACAAACGTTTATCGTATGATCCAGAGATATGTGAAAAAATGTTATGTCCTGCCTACCTTCGAACTCAAATTACTGTCGTAAAAATTATGAAGAATGGTTGCAAATCGTGACGGAGTGGGCCTAATTGGTTTCGAATAGAGACAGTTATAAGTAAAGTTATGAATGATATTATCAAGGTACTGCAGAAAATGAGTTAGCGGTGGCTATCTTTAATACTCGAACATATAATAATTTACAAATGAAATTGAACCCGCAGTATAAAGGAACGTCGCCGGAGTTATTGAGGTGCAGGCAAAGTAAATATTTGTAATGGTAAATGACAAACTGGATAAATTTGTACCCCACTCGTCTAAAGGGGACGTTGTGGGGAATCCACAGATAGGAACAGTTCATAATATCATGATCGTCTTGAAAGGAAAGTCATGATTAATACAGAAAGGACACCGTTCGCGCTTTTGTGGGCGCAGCTATGGTTGATAGACGGCCAGAACTTCAAACTCGCAACAGTATATTTTGCTTAAGTCCATTAGTGCTCAATTCCACGAATTCTGTCACTAGAGTTTAGGTCTCCATATATGACAAATTACTTTCTACACTGTGTTAGCTTAATTAGTAGTTACTTAATTTATACGAGTCGTAAATTATTTTTTATTTTAATTTAAGTAAAATATTCTCAATGGAAATACATGGCATTTAATTTGGATTTTCTCAATAGATTAATAAATAATTATGGCTTCTTACCATCTTGTTCCAGGTATTCGTATAATAGTATACAATAAACCAACTAAATACTTTTCTATATCCATTAGTAAGATTTTAAAGTATGCTTTACCATGCTTGACAATGAGCAGCAACTTCTTATCATAACAACAAACGCTGCGGGCTGTCTAAAAATATAGACATTTTTTTTATTTATATTATAATGTTGTATTTTACATTTTAATTTAATAAATAATTAATCTGAACAAGTTTCAGCCTCTCGCATAACATAGCAAGATAATAGGATGTGCATATATTTTACTAATACATGTCTAATAAAAATGTTACAAAAACAACATGTCTTGTACACCCCCGTGGTCATCATACCTTATTGATGAGTTTATCACACGCTGCATCGATTGCGATGATGACTTCTTTGGGAAACGTGCGATGTGGTCCGGACACCTGGGTTCTTTTGCCTTTAAATAAAGCACCAATTTATTATTAAATATTTTATTATCTTAATTAAAAGAATAGAAAATATTGGACTAATTATTCTTCGTTTAAATCCATATTTTTTTCATCAGCTAGGCAGCAGTTGTTTAACTAGGTAATAAAATTTAAACGTAGCTCAAGTAGATACCTACGTAATTGAAGATAGAAAAATACTGGTAATAAAAACTTAAATTATTCTATACCAAAAACCCTTGATCGTGATATACTTATTTAGGGTATATATATATAGAATACAATTGCAGAGACATTCTACACAGCTCAGTTTAGTAATTTGATATGTATAACAGAGTATTCGTAGTACTCTTCACCGAAAATCCGCACCAACAAAAACTGAAGCTTGTAAGAATAAATGTTTTTAGTAGGTGCAGGGCTCACAGTATTATTTCTTTCTGGCCTCGATGAGGCATTTGAGCCGCTAGCCCCTTCAAACAAATGTATGTCCTGCCATTAACTACAGAAAGTGCAGTGATAGCGTGTTTGTTTAATTGATTTAGAGACACACGGTGTGGTTTAAGTTTTAAAGCAAGGCTAGACACACTTCGTAATGTACTTAGACGCAGTCGTTTCAAACATTGAGTAACGAAATGCATAAAAACAGCCGGACATATTTTTTACATTTAAAATCTAATCTAAAGTCTATTTCTATATAAGCTGATATAGAGTCCTAATGTGTTAACCTTATTCAACTATTTGTTAAAATTAATTCGTAAATGCTGAACTTTAATTGGAAGATAAAGGCCGGTGACCTTCAGTAACAAAAATCAGTTGCTCCACAGACCATAGCTATTATACACAGTGGGTATGGTACGCCTAAAATCTTTTTAGGCGGTTGTGGACAACGTCTTCAAAATTGCTAGGTTTGGATCTGTTGTTCCGCGCCTGAGATATTAGAGAAAACTCCGCGCTGAAAAAGTTGCTTGACAGTAGTCAAGGAGATGAGGACAGAGATCCGAATTCCCCCTTTTCTTTTCGATCGCAGTCATTAGGCCAGTCATACACTATTATTTGGTGTGATTTTGTGTCTTTTTTTTTATTCAAAGGCACCTCATCCTTCGTCTTTTGGGCTATATAGTCAACTGCATACTTCCGTAATCCGACCGCCTCCATTGCCGACCGACTGCTATTTCGTACATAATCTGGTTTTTGGAGTCCGATACTCTTTCATAATTCTTACGATTTTACTACCGGTTCATGGTTAATAGAAAAACCACAAAAACCCCTGAAATTCGCTTCAAAAGAACCTATGGTCACAACAGAGTCGTTGTTATCGAAATCGTAAAACAACATCGTTATTATGAATAACAGCAATTATATTGGCGGTACTATTTTACTACTTTTAGTATTAGCTTGAAGTATCTATGTCTCTCCATGGGCGAGAGAAAATGGAATCGCATACTTGAACTGTGCGTAATGGCTCGAATATTTATATGCATTGTAGTAGAGAGCCATTGCATAACACGTTTCACTAAGTGTTTTTCCCTTCCACAGCGGTTTAAAATGCTTTTGCAGCAGTATGGTCACATGGCTTACCAAACAGAAGGAAGCAGGTTTCACATAAAAAAACACATAGAGATATTTAATTAGAGTATTTGTGATTAAACTTGACGATGTGTGCAATTTCAAAAGGATATTTGTCAGTCATTGATATATATATATATATATATATATACATTAACTGTGAAGAAGAAAAGATTTATTAATGAACGGAACAAGGACGGAAAAATTATTTGATAACAAGAGCAGGGGACAGGTTAAGGCTATTGCGTAAGGCAATTTTCCAAAACGCTTCAGAAGTATCAATCGCGAATTTTGAATAAACTCTTTAGAATGAATCCTGCTCTAAGTTACTATGTTCAACATATTTGACAATTTCACAGACTTCTGGCTTGTTTACAAATAAAAGACCTATTATATATTTGACCCACCGCAACATACCAAACTATAAAAAATGACAGTTTCTAAACTTTAGTTTTTACACGCCTGCATATATACATTGAAACTGCGTGTTAGCTCGTAAAGATAAACGAATCTTACATCTACGAAATTGAAGCAAATATATTGTCGGCTATTACAACAAACGCTGGATTAACCCATACTTCTATTTGTAATAAATATAAAGCACGGCTCAAAAATGTAAACGCTTATTAGGTGGGGTATGAGAAAATAACCTGCTAGAGGTTTTCTTACAAGCATTATCTGAGCAAAGTTTCACTAGTAAGGTAGAAAGTGATCCAAAAGGTAAATCAAATCAACAAACTCCAATACAAGACGCTATAAATATTGTGCTTCAATTTGAGATAGATTTTAAACATATTACACTTCAACGATCAAATCCGTTCCCACAAAACAAGAAAAATTGCATTGACTCATTAAAAAATTAAACATTAGCGCATTAAAACAGTCATAAACAACACAAATTTAGAAGAAAAATAAGAAATAAGATGAAAATGGAATTTTTGTAGCCGATGCAACAATACTGATCAACACAAAAATATGTCTTTTTGTAGTTTTATTACTACAATGGGAAAGGTCACCAGTCGTATTGAGAGACGCAAAAAAGCAAAGTTCTATACTATTTAATAGACACGGTGACACTCATAAGATGAAATCCGGAAGTAGATTTTTTGGCGCTTTCAGAACAAACATGGTAGATATTTCTATAAATTCTTATTATTTAATTAGCGGAAATTTCAAAGCCACTGAATAAATTATTACAAACAAATCAAAGGTTTGTATGGCCATGCGAACTTGCATTGCCAGCATAGCAGTAAATGTAAAAAAAAACATTTAAAAATACAAGAGAAGCTATTGTGTCAGACATATAGTATCAGTGCCATTTGCTCGATGTTTTTTAAATATTACCACTAGCGATAGATGTATCTGTCATTCTACCTTAGCAATTTGCCGTAAAGACTTACTGCCCCACCTCGTTCTATTCGAGAAACCTGAGCAAGGTCGAACAGTAATATGGATAGTAAGACAAGACAGATCGACACTCGCCACTACTAACAAACCTCCATATTTACTTTGGATGAAGCTATACCTTTACTTAAGTAAGAACTTCTGCAAAGATACATTTATGGAAACGCAAAGATAGCTCGAATAAGTATGAAAATGCGAATATACGAGCACGTTTACGACCTCTGTCGATTATAGAATCAAAAGTTTCTATACAAAATCAGTGTACTCCAATATCAGTTTTATGGACAGAAATCAGGCAAGCAACAACACATGAAAAAAAGAATTGGATTAATACCAACTGCTGAACAAGCGTCGCGAATAACGGCGCTACATGTTAATTCTGAAAGTATTCCATGGCATTTTTCTTATTGGTGCAGAAAACATATAGTGGTCGATAAGTAACGATGATACCATTCAAAAACCTCTCTCTCAATTTTCTACAACCGATGATAACCTTTTGTGAAAAGTCACCTGTTTTTTTATGTGACTCTACATGCACTATGCTAGTTTCTAAAGGACATAATACTTGGTGCTAAATGTATACGTCACCAGCAAATAACTTAAAGTTTTCTTAAGGGAAATTAGATATCGGAAGTAATCGTACAATATCAACTTCAAACATTTGTATAGTTTGACTATTCGAGAATACTACTACTCCACGATGATTCACAATTCACTAAGAAACGATTCAAGCAACTTCTCTTTCGGAAAGGATACATTACAGATCAATTGCCCCATATAATTCCGCGCGATGATGTTGCAGAAACACCTCCGAAAAATGTTCACTATATCAGACGTCGATCTCCATAAAAGAGTGGTCGAACTCTTGATGTGCATGTATTGTCTAAGGACAAAAAGACCCTAAATCTCCTAGAAAAGTTTTCCTAGGAAGAAATACACAAACTAAGCTTTCTATCGTACATGAAAAATGTGAATCATATGACAGACACAGAAAGGAAACAAAACTTGGTATGAGCTAGAAGGTTGTGTTCAGATTATACAATAATCTTGGGAAAAATGGAACATTGAAACCAAACACAAAACATTGGAGCAATGAGGATTATTATCTTAAAATATAAGGTGTTTAAAAACCAAATTGTTCAAATTCAAAAAATCGAAAATAACACTCATTTTTCCGAGGAACAGAAAGAAGTCGCAACACATTCTTTGTCCTTTGTCCGGCACTCTTCCTTTCGTCCAATTCACACCAATTCACTACTGTAGCGAAGAACTAGATACCTATTGATAGAAGAGTCACGTCGTATCAGATTTACTAATTTTCGATATGGGTAAATCTGCACAAGCTACTTCCCAAGTATCTACAGGTTTTTTTTTCCATAATGTAGGTCTTAAACGTCCAGGGGCATATAAAAATAGCAGAAGAGCGAGTGAAAATGATGACCGACATCTCGGTAGAAGAAGGCGGAAAAATGGGTGTCCAAGAGACAATCGGAAAGTCAGACAGGGTAGACGACAATGTTTGCAGTTAATGACTATCAATAAAGAAGAGGCTTTGCAAAAACTGATTCAATATCTGGGAAGATGAGGAGAGAAGGTAACCGTTGTCAAGGGTATTGCATCTTTCTTCAAAAATAAGTGGCTAGGAAAGGTATTTCTCTGAGTGCTAATTATTGGGAAATTAATGCAGAATGTAGTTCTGGTCACGTTCGTGTGTGATACGCACGACAAGTTTCTACTTCCGGATAAAAGTAGGAGGCGTGGCTCGACTAAAGCCCACGCAGACCTTATAGCACGAAATGTGGCAACTATCGTAGGCGTTTCTAGGCTTGCTTTGTCACTAACATCTTAGGACTGGCAGCTGCAATTGTATCATTTATGCCCTTTACGAGAGGTCGACCTACTCTAACGCGTGGGAATGATCCACAAGGATAATCCCAGTTACCCAGTTGCTTGCTGAGTTAGATCAAAGTGAAGACAGAAGCATGGCAGAGAGTCTTGTTCACCAGTGAGCTGTAATATCCACGAGAGAATGCAGAAGCAGTGATTATACCATGGAGGAAAAAAGACGAAAGCTAAAGGCCTGTATGGGTCACAGTCTCAGAAAATAAATCCTATATAGGAGAGCTGCTAAACCTTAAGCAAATTGTCGGCTTGAATTGCTTGATACCGGATACTTCCCAAGCCACCTGCTGAAAGTAAAAGAAGTTGAGACCAGGCTGGTTAGCTAGGTGATTATTTGAGAGTTCGGCGTTAAAGCTAACTAAAACCTCAAGCCGGGTGCACTGGCTTCGGTTGTATTGCGCTATCAGTGCCGATAAAATTCGCAGCGGGCTGTTACCATTCTTAAAGCATAAGATTAAACAAGTAGAAATAGAAGCGCTTAGGTTAGCAAGAACGGCACACTAAATCATGGTGCCTCGAAGGTTCAGAGCTCTAGCGGCTAAAATCCTGACGCAAAAGACCATCAGGGTGGCACGGGGTACTCGCTGAATAAGCAAAGTAGCGCACCGTAGGGCTGCTTCAACGGCTAACAAGGGGTTATTGGACCAGCGACTGTTTTGAAGACGAATCTAATGTTAAACAGTAATACGCATGCTCGACAGTAAAGTATGAAGTACGAAACCTTATTGCAGAAATGAAGTGCTCTCACGAAAATGTGAGGACCACATTGTTAATACAATAGCTCTCCCCAATATATTGTAAAGGTCTTGTAGCCAAAAAAAATTGTATGTTTATTGGATTATTGGAAGTTATAGTTAAAGCGTTTCAGGTTAATCTCCATATATGCACTCGATTTCTTTAAAACCAATATGCTACAAAAAAACAAAATTTGCTCCTCAAGCCAAATAGGACTAGGGTAATATAAGCGGGATGGCTGGTCGAAATGTAACAACAAAGACTCGACTATTGGTTACAAGCGTAAAGACGTAGTCAAAGAAGCTGAAGGAGGTAACAGCTTCGTTACATGATTGTGTAACTGCTAGATAACCTAAACTCTGAAAAGTTCCAATAGTCTCTTGACGACATAGAAAAGAGCCTGAATAGAAGCGACAATATGATCGACTCTGAAGATCTCGATGCGGTTGCTATCAGCTACGCTCCTTCTTGATTGGTAAGCTAGAAGATGCCTCCAGTTAATCAATGACAGGCGTAAGTTCTCTAGCTTCAGTGGCAACACTAGACCATAGATGTATATGGGCCAATCAATAAAAGGAATCTCGATTATCACATGTTGCGAATGAGCAAAAAGGTCTCAGCGATCACCGGAATTTAACTTGTGAAGTGAGAGGGACAGCCACTCGAAATAAATCGAAACTTCTATCAAACAAGAAACCAAGATAAGGAAATTAAACATGGAGATGATGAATAACGCGATCTGCAAGCGGTCCGATACGCTCCAAAACGCTCCTGAACATGGAAACGTTATGGGTATATTGGCGGACATTTGTCGGGCCACGGAGCTTGAGCAAGTTACATGATCGACAAACGAAAATGCAGGTACTGATGAGAAAGGAAATTGTGTAAGGAAAAAAAAGAAAAAAATGCCGGAGACTACGAGCTATTTAGCTATCCTTCTAGACGTATGCAACGGCTCCGATTCTATGGAGTTAAGACATGATCGACTGAGACACGATTTTAAAAACCCTAAAGATAAAAGACGTATTCCCGTATCTTCCACGCGTTATCACTAGCTAACTAAGTGATCGAAAAATCCGAGTAGAACATGCAAAGCTCTAAGTAATGTGGCAGAGTAGATGAGCGGACACCAAAGGAAAAGGTAAAGGCTTTTCTACTAATTAACAGAAAAAAGTGCAAGATTCATGACATTATTATAAAAGGCTATTTAGCTTAACCAGAGAAGTTGATTCCGCACATCGGAACGAAACTTGACCAAAGCTCAACTGGAAGCCTACACATAGTGCAAACGCTCAAGAAGGCTAGTTCGGCTGCACGGATTGATGTCGAGCGCCAGAGGCCTCTTGAGAAAAGGAGAGTGTCACCTGCACCAGTGGCGTATTCTAGAGTTTTTTATGCAGCTCCTTTATAAGCAAAAGCTGTACAATCAAAAAGAGGTGAAACTGACCTAGCGTAAGCATAGTGGGTTTTCGTACTCCGGATAAGCAGAACGTTTCGAACCATTTCGACCTTTGCTACCATGATCGTGAAGACGATTGAAAGGTACAATGAGAAAGGTCGTATAATCAGGCGCTCATTCAAGATTATCCTAGAAGAACACTCTCTAAAATGCAAAGCGAGTAAGCTCAACTAACATTGCTGCTTGGACTAAGCAGGTAACACCAGAAATTTTCGGAGGAGTTACCTTTATCGGCCAAAAGTGTCTCCGAGCGTATCCTCATAGAATAGGAACGACGGAATCAAATTGTACATGTGTAATACTGGTTTGTGCAGCAATGTAGCTAAGACACTGGAGCACTGCATACTGCTCGAGAAAGAAAGGACAGAAGTTAAAAAAACTGGGACAGTTATTTAGGACCGGTACCATGATGAACTAGATGCTTCAGTAAATAGGATTTATGTAAGTCTCGAGGCATAACTAAAGACAAAGAGAAGCGTAAATCGAGTAGCTATTGAAATTCGAAAACGTTGGTATGAGTCTTACACTGCCACGAAAAATACCTAAAAGGTAGCCTTAATATCCATATTTGATTTTTATACATTGAACCTAAAAGTCTCAGTTATGCCTTGAAGAGCAGTTGCGAGTTCCAGTAATCCACAATATGTTTTAAACGGAAATATGTGCATAAATTTCTTTCTTCTTTATACTTGTAAGGTTGTAGCTGAGTCAATTCATTTGAACGATTTTGTGATGAAGTGTGATTTATAATCGCTGGCATTATGATAACTTTCTAATTATTCTTGGATCACTCCATATTGCTGACAACACTTCCATGTGGTACAAATTCCTTGGGCTCCGAGCGCCATATATTTGTGGTTAAGCGTCCCTGTTGCCATTCTGAGACTGGTAGTGCGGTTATCGGAGTTGCACAGTTGAATATTTGATTAATTGTAGGAGGATAACTAATGCTCCTGAAAATCAGCTATCATCTTTGTATGCGTTTTTTGTAACAATAATTATGTAAAACTTCGCATCACAAATTTTAAAAAAAGGCCTTTATCGTATCCCATTCGAATTCATATTCAAATGGAATTATATGAAAACAGTTATATAAAAAAAATTCAGAAAATGAATATTGCTTGGTGTCGAAGTTTTTCTTCCTCGTGATAACGCAGTCGTAATAGGTTTGCCCACTAAACTCACAGATACAGAGTTGCTTAGGTCTGAGACAGAACGTAGACGTTCTTTGCTTTGTGTTGAAAATTAGCTTTCTGAAGCAATATTTAATGGTGGCGCCGAATGTAAAATTAGAAACATATAGTCACTGTCGAAATCTTGATCAATACAATTCAGATCTCAAACTGGCGTAACGACATCTAATACTACAGCGTGAATTGCTATAGCCAACGCAACTTAATAAAAATTTAGAGAAATTCAAATTAGTTTATCTTGCCGTTCACCTTGAAATCGGAAGCTTGAGATTCCCTTTTGAAATACAGGCCATAATGCGATTAGGAGTGATAAGAAATCTAAATGTAAATCTATGCATACAAAGTTAGGATTAATTACAGCCTAGAGAAGAATGAGACCAATGTTGTGCAAAGTAAGATTTTGTAAATAAATAGATAAATTAACGGTTGCAGGGATCCAATATGCATACATGTGTTTTCTATTGCTGATGGAAACTTAACAACCTTTTGATCACTCCGTAGATATTGCAGCTACGTTACCAAAAAATACTCACCCTGAGGCCCATTGGTTTCCAACCGAATATTTATCTTGTCCTGCACAGAGAGTGTCACTTTATGTTTAGAAGGTAGCATGAATACCTCTAAAAGTATCTGCTCAGTAAGCGCATGACGGAGCGCGGTATTTCGCAGTACAAGCATCGCCGATTGGTTCGACCTGGTCATTTCCCAAAATGCGGTTTCATTAGCCAATAATATATACAAAGCAGTTATAAAAGTGACGATGTAATAAAGCTAATTTGTATCAAGATTGAAGCACAAAGTAAAAGCTGGTGAAAATGCATTACATTTTAAAGTAAAGAGCATAACAAACAGCTTATTTAACTAGTTAGTAAGTAGTTCCCACCGTATAATCGAATGAAGATAGACAGCCTTATCATGGTCCAATTGGAGGTACATTTTCGAAGCTTTCTGTTGTGCAAATACCGCCAGCACACTGAGTACTGTATAAAGTAACCACCACATCCTTGTGTAAGTTCTTCACCCACTTTTTTTCACAGCTTTTTTTTCAGTTTTTTAACGTCTGTGAGTTTCAACTGCGTAGGCAGACACAAGGATAACGAGAAGTTTAGAGTCACAATTCAATAATCTCATTTATAGTAACCACAAGAGCAACGAATTATAGTCACCTTTTTCACAGAAGACTAATAATTGCGCACCGGCACATGTAACACTTTGTTCTTCTAATGTGTTAATGCGAGACGTTAAGAAGACTAAAGGTGCCTTGTCTGTAATTAGGATCTTGGTGTGTCTGTCAACGAAGTAAGCATAGCTTTAGTGCAAGTGTTCTTGGTTAGCGGAATATGGTGGAAGCAGCCGTTGTGTGGGCGTAGCATAGGAAGAACTAACACCAGAATGGAAAGGAGGCGGCACTAATCGTCTCGTCAGTTGTTGAAAAACTAGGAGAGGCTTTCTTGGCAAAGTGCGATGTATGGGCGTCACTAACCAACAAGACGGCGTGGGTTGTCGTATGGACGGGCTGACCAACATTTTTAGCCATTTGATTATTTTTCAAGACGTTGTGTTTTATTTCAGAGACAAAGAGAAGTATTGTATGTATTGAAAACAGGAACGTCGAACGAGAATGGTGTGGGCGCCAGCCCTAAATGCGGTTCTTGTTACGTGAAAAATTAAACATGTGATCTCGCTTCACCTGATGATCGATACATGATGTGAATTACACAATTGTCAATAACCGTCAATAACAGCAAGATTTTAAAAATCTATACCCAACAGTATGTGCAACTAAATGAAAACCACTTATGTTTTAAATGATCGAATTTCGAAATTTATTCGAACGGTACTTCTCATGCAATGGCCAATTGACTCAAGTGAGGTATCGGTTTTAAGACGCTTTAACCCCCGCAAGAAAATGAGCATATAATATCTATATGGCAATTGCAACACTAAATTCTGCTAGCCAATAATAATAGGGGCATTTTCTTCATGTAAAAACGTATCATTGGCAAATGCAAAGGATTCGTATATTGTATCGCTTTCTGATCCGTGTGTTTACCTTGTACAAATAAGCTCTTATTTTGCTCATTTCGGAATTCGGAATATATACGATTTATCTACTATGCTACAATTATTAAGTGTATGTATGTCTGTCTATCCGTTTTAAATGGCCTCTGAGCAGTAATCGCATTGAGCAAATTTTTATGTTGGTTAGTATGATTTCATTCTGCGCCGGGCTGCATGCAAAATCTGGTCAGTCGGATAAACGCTTATTCATTTAACTTTTTTTGCATGAGATTTTTTAAACTTCGTTTTAAAACGTTGTTTAATCATTTAAGAAACTCTACAAATTGAGCACAGCATTCGGTTTTGAGATAGATTTCCTTTTGTTACTTGCCAATAGGATAAGATTTTCAGCGTAGAAATCTCATACTGGCACTCCCTACTGGCCGAATGTTCATTTAAAAAAAATCTGTTTGTCTTATTAATTATCTTATTAATTTAAGTATTTCTTCATATTGTAGGATATATGCAGTGCACTTGTAGATTAATTACAACGGCAGGATCCGGCAACTGCAAGAAGTCTAGTAAAGATTTTCCAATGAAAATGGAATCGCTCTAACGGCGCAACCAACCACTGCAGCGGACTGACAGGGTGACATGTTCAAGTTATTGGAGTTACTAAACTATACAAAATCTACGCTACACTGATTGTGATGTCAGCGGGTCAGACTAATGAAATCAATAAACAGCAAAGTGGGAGTGCGGCAAAGCTCGCGAGTTTTTTAATTTGAATGCGGTCTGCTTCAGTTATTTGTACAACGTGAACTTGCTTATCATGTAAAATGAAAGTGTTCTACAGATATGTTAAAACTATTTGATGTCAATTGGGGCGTAGCCTTGTAGTTAAATTTAATAATGCTCGATAATTTGATATTAGCTCGAAAATGTTATTATTGGAACAACCCTAATGCCGCATATCTTCAGTGCTACGCTCACGGTCCGTCTTTTGACTAAAAGATGAATAGTTACTACAATTTTTTACAATAATACAAATTAGCAACTCTCTGACATGCCCTATGAATTTCTGTTCTGAATATTCTAGCAAGAATATTTTGCTCTTTTCTCGAATGGTAAGCAATGCCTATCGTTGGTTAGCTTCACCTTCAAAGGATACCAAACGAAAAGTATATGCTGCTGTAATTTTCATGTTAGGTACATAAACCCAATCAAAGGCTTGGAACTTCACAATTCTGAAAGACAGAGGCATGCTTAATATTAAAATAGATTTTAAAAGAAACTAGTTTTAGAGCAGAGTTAGAGCGTGTCCTGGCTCAATTTCAGGACAGACTTCCCACATACAGGCAAATTGCTTGAATTCGAAGGTAACTCTAGTCAAGTTTTAGGACAGAGTCTCTACGTACAAAGAAGTAGAACTCAGAGTGCACCTTATAGGTATGTTTTAGGACCGAGTTCTTACGTACAGGAAATTTGTCTTAACTAACTTTTAAAGACGTATATCTTAATTTGGAGGTAGGATGAAAGTCCCAAGTACAAGGAGGTTGTTAGAATTCAAAAATCTAACTATCGGCCAAGAAAAATGTGAAAACTTAAAGACCTACCTCCAATCTAAGCCTTACTACAGAGCTCCCGCTTACAAAAAAAATTTGCTGAACCTCAAAGAGAGTTCTCTTGGCCAATGATTCCTACGTACAGGTAAATTGTTTTAACTTTGACCTAACTTCTACCCTAGAGATAGGGTAGAGTTTCTACGTACAGGGAAGTTGCTGAAATTTAAGGAGTTTAATTCTTGTCCAAGCTTTGGACAGTCTTTACGTACAGGGCAATCGTTAGAATTCAAGGAGTGTAATTTTTAGCCAAAATACAGGATGGAGTTTGCACATACAAGGAAGTTGTTTGGACTCAACCACTGAACTTTTGAAGAAGAAGTGATGCAGAGTTTAAGGCTCTCCTCTATTTATATGTATAGGAAAATTGTTAGAACTCAAAAAACTCAAATATGGCGCAAGATGTAAGACAGTGATCCCACGTATGAGGAATTTGTTAGAACTCAAGAAGGGCGATTCTTGTCTAAGCTTCAAGACGCAGTTTTCGCGTACAAGTAAACCGTTTTAATTTAAGGAGTAACCCTAAGTTAAAAGATATAACAGATTTTTACATACAGGGCAGTCGTTAGAACTCAAAGAATGTAGTCAAACATTCACACAATCAAAATTTAGGACAATTTAGTCAATTTTAGGACAGGACTTTTGCGTAGAAGACAATTGTGTTAACCTAAAAATAATCCCTGGCCAAGAGGTAGGAATAGTGCTTCTACGCACAGGAAAATCGTTAGAAATTTTAGAAAGACTTACTGCCATAAGGTAGAATAAAGTTTTCACCTAAAAGGGAGTTCTTCTAACTTAGGGGCCTGACTGTTGCGCGAGTGATAGGGCAGAATTCGCACATACGAAGAAATTGTTCAACTCAAAGGCCTAACTCTTGGGCAATAAATAGAACAGAGCTCCCACGTATAATGAAGTTATAAGATCTCAAAGAACTAGACCGCGAACAAAAGATAGGATAGAAATCTTACGCACAAAAAAGTTTCTAGAACTCAGAGGCCTAACTCGTAACCAAGAAATAAAAGTTAGGACTCAAAGACCTAACACGACTTGAAAATAGAATAGACTTCCTAAGTACAGAACAGTTGTTTTAACTTCTGGTTAGAAGATATAACAGAGTTCCTATGTAGAAGAAAGCCATTAGAACTCATTAACTTGACTCCTTGCCAAGAAGTGCAACAGAATTTTCACGTACAGGGTTGTCAGAAGCCAATGAGTACAAGCTTTAGCTCAGCTCTAGGACAGAAGCCCTATGTACAACTAACTTATCCAGACTTACTCAAAAAAACTCCTAGCCAAAAGGAAGGACAGAATTTTCATTCACGGGAAAGCTGTTAGAACTCAAGAATCTTGGTCCCGACTAGGGGTAGGACAGAGTTCCCACATAGAGAGAAGTTGTTTCTATTAAAAAATGTAGTCTTTTTATTTTTTTAGGGCAAAGTTTACTAGTTGTTAGAGGAGATGAGTACTAGCCAAGAGGCTGGATAGAGTTTCCTGGAGAGGAAAATTCTTTTAACTTAAAGACTTAATTGCTGGTTGAGCGCTAGAATAGAATTCCCACTTATAAAAAAAGTCATCAAGCCTAACTCCTAGCAAAGAAGCAAAACATATTTACTACATACAGGAAAGTGTTTTTAAGTCGGAAATCTAACGTCTTGCCAAAAAGTAGGACAGATCTTCCACGTACAGAAAATTAATTCCGACTCAAAGACCTAACGCCTGGCCAAAAAATAGGAAGCCGTTAAAATTCTAAAAGTGTGTTCCGTAGCCAAGCTTTAAATGGAATCTCCATCTACAAGGAAGTTATCCCAACTCAAAGACAACTCCTGGGTAAGATGCAGGACAGAGTTTCTACGTGCAAGGAAACTATTGAAACTCAAAAACCTAGCTTCTGCTTAAGAGGTACAGCAGAGTTCCTACGTACAGGGAGGTTGTTAGAATTTAAATCTAACTCCTGATCAAGTTTGAGGGCAGAGTTCCCACGTACGCGGAAGCTATTATAACCCCGAGAGATAACTCTTGGTTAGATGGTAAAGTCGAGCTCGCAGGTACAGGAAATTTGTTTCAACTCAAAGACCTAACTTTCGGCCAAAAGATAGCACCGAGTTTATACCTATGAACGTTGAAACACTTAAAGATCATGATCCATGACCAAGTGTCAGGAGAGGGTTTACCCATACAATTAAGTTGTTCTAGCCCGTTCTGTCATGAAATTTGACCAAAAGATACTTGTTTGAGTTTTACAACTCTTTTGTATGTGAAAATTCCGTCCTGAAACTTGAGCTTGTTTAGGTTTTTCTTGTAAAACTATAATCCCAGAACTTGGGCAAGGGAGATTCGTTTGAGCTTTATTAACTTCTTTATATCAGAATTCTGTGTTCACATTCTACCAGAGTGTACCTGATTGAGTTTTAAACATTTTTTGTATGTTGGAATTCCGTCCTAAAATTTGGTTAGAAGGGACTTATTAAGTTAATTAACTTTTTTGTGCTTTGGAGTCTTGTTTTAACTTATTGCCTTTGTTTGACTTTCAACAATCCCTGTGTATGCCAGAAGTTAGTCCTGAGACTTGGCGAGAAAAGACTTATTTAAACTTTAACAACTTGTTTGAATATAGAAATTCTGTGCTGAGACTTCGCCAGAGAGAATTTGTTTGAGTTGTACCGTCTTCTGTAATGTAATATA